GGGCGGCGCCGCCGTCCCCGGGCCCCCGCGGCCCTGCACGGCTCTCCCCAGTCTCTCTGCAGGCTCTGACCCCGGCCGCGGGGAGGGAGGATGCGCTGAGGCCAGAGAGGTCTTTTTGTTTCAGCGCTTGGTTGTATCCGCTGGGAAATGTGAGAGAGAGACGAAGGTTTGTAAGGACTTCGGCAAGTTTTCCCCGCAGGCGAAATAACGCAGACCTAAGTGATCAAGAAAGCAACTTTCCCCTTAAAGAAGATTTATCAAGCTAGGCTATTTCAAGAAAATAAAAAAACCGCGATAATTCGAAAGATAGTCCGTTGCGGGGAAGACTTTCTATTTGTACCAAGAGAGGTGTAGTTTTCACAGGACATAAAATACTCCACTTAGACTGGCCAAATATTTCTATTTCTGTGGGTACTTTGTAGACTTTAGAACCGAAGATTAATGGGACCAACATCATATGTTGGACCGTCACAGAAATGAACAAATCCAAAACAGCCCGGCAACCGATTCGGTACCTTCCCGTGGTCCCCTAAAGGACCCTGCGGGTACGGGGCCAAAAGATGAGTGCAGCGTAAGGGGAGAACTTGCGCCGAGTCAGAAAGACAGACCAGAGAATAGAAATAAACATCTCGGTCAGGCAGCGTAAGCGAAGGGCGCGCTTTACCCGCATCACGAGAATAGGTTGCGTTTACACGAATACCGTTCCGAGATTGTTTTAGTTTCGTCCATGCTCATCAAAAGCAGCAGATCTCTACACGTAGGTGATCTTTAATATTGGCCAAGATAATGAGCAAAGCTTTCGCTGCTACGTTACACGTAGATTTCTGTAACAAATAAATTTAGAAATCAAAACAGGCGGTTTAAAAGCGACTTGTTTAAAGATAGTGAGAATGAAATATTTTCGCTAATAACAAAAACGACGGTTTCGATTAAATAGTCTTAAAATTTTAAATTAAAACTTAGCTCCTCTAATAATAACTAATTTAATTTATTTTGTTCTAGCAGTTACCGCTTGAATTTTAAAACATCATTTCAAGATTGGCAATGCTTTGTGATAACCTGTAGTGCGGTCGGGGAAAGGAAGTAACGACGTGTAAATTGTCCCTCGGCAGACAACAGGTTCGACCTTTCAAATGGCAGGTAAATGTTCATTGCATTTGCTTTGTTGTTTTATCCTCAAAGAGAGGTCTCGCTTCTCACTTCTTGAAACGGCAGGAGAGGATCCGGGCTCTGTGCTGTGCGTTTGTGCGAGACCTCGCGGTGTCCCCAGCCGCACTGTCAGTGCCGCGGTTTTAACAGCGCCTGGGGAGAAACTGCAAGCGACACGGGCAGCGAGTCGCGGGGCTCCCGCACCTTCGCATTGCCTGCGGCTG